TATATTTTGTTTCTGCAGTTATCATTTTGTAGATGGGAAAGGATAGGAAAATCTCAAGTTGTTACTAGGGTCAAGAATCAGTGCTCATCAGGTTCTGGCGAATAAAGATGGAGAAGGGCCTTGCTGCCACATTTGAGGTTATGAAGGTAGTAATGAACTGAGCCATGATCTAGCACAGGACCTACATCTTATATGTACTATCAGCATTCAGAGAAAGGAAGAGTGGAGTACTGAATGAATTGGCACTTACAGCAAATATAGTACTATATTTACATTAATGGAGTGGGTATTCTAAGAAAACATCATCTTTGAAGAGCTGTAAGGAAGCTTCTTGGGAATCTGACAAATTCTCCCATGAAAAATAGAGAAAGGAGACAAAACCTTACTAATATGGTGTTTATCACTGTTACTCAAATTTGAAATGCGGGATTGGCTATATTTGTGATTTTCAGTAATAATTTAATAACCTGATACTTTCAGTAATAATTTAAAAGTGTTTTTCATTGACTTAATGCTTTTTGTTTCCTTCAGATAGATTGTGTTGCTGTTAACATTTCAAACTTGGTACTTGAGAATCAGCCGCCTCGGATATCAAAAGCACAAAAGAGACGGGTATGAAAGTCATGTCACTAAGTATATAAGTTAGTGCTGTGTGCTCAGTACTATCGTAGGTGTTGTATAGGAAAGAAATGAAAAAAGAAAAAGATGGATTTCCTTGTCAAGAGACCTGAACTAACATTTGGGAACCACTTGCTACTTGCTATGTACCAGAAACTATGCTAAACTGCTTATATGAAATCTCATTTAGTACTGACAATAATCCTGTGAAGTAGGATTTCTTATCCCCATTTTATAGAGAGGAAAATGACATAAGATAATATAAAATAGCATGTTCAGTTTGCAATTCTCATAGGAGGGTGGGGCTGGGAAGCCGGAGTGCAAAAGATTTTTTTTTTAAAACAAATAGATTATCCCAGACTTACTAATTCCGAATCTTCGGAATATGGGCCCAGGTGGTTCTGATACACAACCTTGGCTACAAACTGTTGTATTGAATGAGAAACAAGAATTTGAACTTAGAAGTTAAGATACATAGGTATACAAAATTCTCAGATAATTATGTAGGTGTCTATATAATGGTTAATTATGATGAATATGTAAAGAAGGTAAAGTTCATTATGCTAAGTGTTAAAGTAATGGGTTGGAATTTGAAGGAAATATGATTATTTAGGTGGGATGTTCCAAATAGGAGAAATATCATACAGAAAAATAAATGTGAGAATGAAATATGTTATCAAAGCGCTCTAAGGAAACTGATTTATTGGAAGTTGCAAGTTCATGGTATCAACAATAGGAATGAGATTAGTTAGATAAGGCCATTTGACTTTGAAAAAGAAAAAGAGGATTAGATCCAATCTTTTTAGTCCCCAAATTATTTTACTGACATTTGATGTGTTCTGGGATTTAAACACATATTTTTAAATTCGCTTTCCATCTTATGATTTAGTAGTGCGTAATTTAATAGAGCGTGGAGTTTAGTGTCAGATGAGCTTTAAATTTCCCTTACCGTTATACTTTATATAAGATTCTTAACTTCTTTAGGTCTCATTTTCACATCTATTAAATGGGGGCAAGTAATACCTACTTCATAGAGTTATTGTGAATATTAAATAATATACTATTTCCAAATCCCCTAACACAAGGCCTGGAGAACTAATGGGTCAACAAGTGATAGTATTGTTTAGTGTGTTAAGTACTGCATAGTATGCTTCTTAAAAAGTTAAACTTATGAAGAATGTCTTTTTTGTTTGAAAGTGGATTAAGTTGTGAATAGTCAAACATTTCTCATATTTGTATAAAATTTTATTTTTGAGTAAATATGATTGTGAATTTCATAGAATCATGAAATTTAGATCTCATGGTATCTTGGAGGGTATCTGCTTATGGTATGCATTCTTTTTATGATGATCCCGCAATTGTCATCTAGCTTCTATAGATCAAAAATGAAGGACAATTTTTGTGCGCCTGTAGCATAACAAAATATTTATTGGAATCACCTTTACTTAGTAATTGAAACATCTTATTATTTAATTGTGGAAAACATAAAGACACAACTTCTTCCTGTCTTTATCAAAACTTGTTCATCCCTACCTGGACCCTTAGGCAACAAAACAAATAAAAAGAAAACTCCCTTTTCTCAAAAATTTTGTTACTTTTTTCCCTAAAATACTGCACAGCTGAAATTAATAATCTTTTCAGTTATACCCTCAAAAAATTTGGTATCTTTTATAGGCAGCCAGTTTGACACTTGGCAGAGAAGATGCCCTAGAAGTAATGCCCAGTTTTTTATTACTTGGTTATATTAATGGGATTTTGGAACAGAAAACACTAAAAGTTTATAGTACTTAAGAAAATGGAACCTGAATGAGGGATGAATAATTGAGTATCAGATTATTTGGAACCTCTCTTTATGCTAAAGGCACCAAGGAAGGAAAAGCCAATTAACTAATGGTGTTTATTTTTTGGAAAGATACAGCTCTG